GTCCCTAAAGTCTTGAAATGTCAGAGTCAAGCTCCAGCATAAGCCTCTTTGGTTTACTTCTGTTCTAAGAGCAGGCCTGGGAAAGAGACCATCCTTGGTCTACTTTCTTCTAGGATAAGACTCATAGACAGTGGCTAATTAGCATATGATAGCACTAATCCACACCCCACTCTTTCCTTATATTTCCCCGACCATCACATCCAGGAACTCTGTCCACTAGACACAGCCTACAAGAGAAGTAGGCTGCATGCATTTCCAGAAAGTGGGAGTATGGCTTCCTGCCAGGGGTGGTGGTGACTTTGGTGTTAGAACCTGGTGTTAGTGGGATCATCCTGAATGAACCAGGTAGAACAACACCAAAATAAAACCCCCTGACCCCATGTCTGACCGTCTCCCAAACTGGAGACAAAGGCAAGAGCCTAAGTATGGCTAGTAGCTAGAAAAACAACTCAAACCCAGTGCTCAGGCAGGACAACCCGTTCATTCATGGCATCTGTCCTACCAGCTTCTTGAGTATGGAGTAATATTTGTGTTAGGATACACCCTCTCTCTAATGCTCTCCTGAACATGTGCTGACTGCAGGGATTCTTTATTGCTTGTGGAAAATGTGATGTAGTCTCATCTTTGGTGTGGATGTTCTATCCAATACCCTCTTTCAGCTGAATTCAAAATAGAATCCTTCCAGAAGATACTCCTATCCTGCAGGCTTCCTTGAGGCTTTAACATGAACCAGAGGGCAAGATGCACAGTCCTTATTGAGCTCAACTTCCCTGGGTCTACCCTGATGAATACAGAGTGATGTCCCCCGACACCGCTTGAGCAAAATTTGGGGGACTACTTTTCCCTTTCCAGACTGAGAGAGAAGTCTAAATGATGTAAGGAAGTCATGCCAAGGCTTCTCCCAGGAGAAGTCTGTTCATCAGACATGATGGCTGATTAGACAGAGATCAACTTTTGTGATCATTTTGCCTCTAAATCATATAGGGATATGGGAACTTTGTAGTGCTGTCCATGAATAGGTATGCTTGGAAAAGTGTTCTTTCTATGTGGGAAAATACTGATCTGCAAGGTTCTGCATTCTCCTTGTTCAGTTTTATCCATCAATATTCTTTCTGCCAAATCTCATTTCTGGCTCTAACTGGGATTCACAACTGGGCTGATATGGTCTCAACGATCAGTGAGGTCTTGAGACAGTCTTGCGGCAATGTCATTGCTGCGAGGGCTAGATCTCTCATCTCCAGTGTCAGGGTTTCCTGAGTAACTGTCTGGGAGAGCCTGCCATGCTTGAGTCCCCAGGCCCTGAGCAGGACCTGCCTGCAGCTCTTGTCCTCCAGGACGCTGCTGGCTTTAGGACTGTGGGTAGCAACAGGACTCAGGTGCTGGGCACAGAGCCCAGACAAGGAAGGCTGGACAAGGCTGAATGTAGATTAGGGGACAGGCAGGGGATTAGGTAAGACCTGAAGAATACCACTAGAAATCTATCAGTCAATGAAGAGGGACGATCAGGAGTACAGAGTGATAGGTGAGGAAGTCCATCTAGGAAGACAGTATGTGAAAATCAGAAAGCAACCTGGCAAGAGTTAGAGTAGAAAGCAAACAAGAAAAGTAGTTTTAAAAAATCACCAATTGATTTTTTTACAAAAGTGTCAATGAAAGTCAGTAGGAAAAGGATAATCTTTTCAACAAATGGTATAGGAACAAGTGTTTCATCATATGCAAAAATGAACCTCAACCATTATCACATTCCATACACAAAACTTAACTTGAAATTGATCTGTAAGGGCTAAAACTATACATCCTTTGACAGACTACGTAAGAGAAAATCTAAGTGACCTTGAGTATAACGAAAATTCTTTAAGTAGTTCAAAAAGCACAAGCTATAACAGTGTGAATATACCACTGAACTATACATTTAAAAATTGTTAAAATGATAGGTTTTATGTTATGTATATTTTACCACAATTTTGTTTTTTAGAAAACAGAGAATACCTTCTCTTCAGGCAATTGCCATGAAGAAAAAAAGCACGAATTATAAAACAGACTAATAAGTTGGACATCATCAAAATTTAAAACTTTTGTTCTTCAAAAGGCACAGTTACAAAAATGAAAAGGTGAGATATACAAAAAGTTTCAAAACCTATATCTGACAAAGGACTTGTTCTAGAATATATAAAGACCTCTTACAACTCTATAAGAAGACAACTCATTTTTTTCTAAATGGGCAAAAAGATTTGAATGAATATTTTACCAAAAAAGATACAAAGATGGCAAATAAGCACATGAAAATGTGCTTAACATAGTCATTAGAGAAATGCATATTAAAACCTTGATGAGAAACTACTAGAATGGCTACAGTTAAAATGACCATACTAAATGTTGTTCAAGGAAATGGAGCAACTGGAACTCCTCATACACCACTGGTGGAGATGCAAAAGGGTACGACCACTTTGGAAAATATTTTGACCATTTTTTACTAATTAAGAACACATCTACTATATGATCCAGCCATTCCCTATCTAGGCATTTAGCTTAGGGAAATGAAAGCACATGTCTAAAACAGACTTGCGCTGGAAGATTCACAGTAGCTTTATTTATAATAGCCAAAACCTGTAAACAATGTGATGTCCTTCAAGAGGGGAATAAACAAATTTAGTACAATGTTTAGTACAATGGAATACTACTCAGCAATAGCAAGGAATGTACTATTGATATGCACAACAATATAGGTATATATACCTCAGAATAATTATGCTGAGTGAAAGAAGCCAGACCAAAAAAAAAAAGTACGTGCTCTCTACTTCCACATATAAAATTCTAGAAAATGCAAATTAATCTATAGTGACAGAAAACAGATGATTGGTTGCCTAGGAACACAGTGGGGTGGGGAGTGAGGGAGGGATTGCCAAGGGGCACATGGAAGCTTTTGAAGGTGATGGGCATATTCATTACCTTGATTGTAACGATGGCTTCATGGGTACATACATATGTCAGAACTCATCAAATTGTATTCTTTAAATATGTGCAGTTAATTGTATGCCAATTATAATTCAATAAAGCCTTTTACAAAAAGAAAGAAAAACCCACACTTTGCCATCGATAGGCAGCACAGTGTCGTGGCTAAAATGTAGGCTCTGGAGGCTTCGCTAGGTTTGGATTCAGGCTCTATGACCTGTGCGACCTTGGCCAAATTATGTGATCTCTCTGAACCTTGTTTTCTTCGTCTGTAAAATGGGGGTAATAATAGTGTTGTGAAGACAAAATTATCTGGTGTTTGTAAAGTACGTAGAACAGTAGCTAACAGATGGTAAATGTTGATTGACATGCAAGGCACACAGACAGACAGTGGAGATTGGCATGCAGGTGGGTGGGTGGAGGGGAGAATGAGAAGTCAAGAATTCAAGTGGGGCTGGGATACCCAGAAATTCTACCACCCACAGATCCACAAGGAATTATGTTTTAAGGCAAATTCCCAGGTGTTGCCAGGCTAGAAGCTACAGGGGAGGGAGATAAGTGGGTACAGCTAGGTGAAAGTGTGTGGGTGGAAATTAAAGACACTGTCTGAGGCAGCACAGAGGCCCTTCCTGAAGTCCCCAAGTTTCTAACCAACACCTTGTTGGTGTTGCATCCATTGCATTGAAAGACAAACTCTCCTCTGTCTTTCTCGCCCTGGAAGTGGTTTCTTGGCATATCAGAGGGACCTCCTTCCAGCATTCCAAGGCTTTGTAGTTAACCAGCCCTCCTGGCTTTATCTCAACTCACGTTAGATCCAAGGTGCCACCTGAGAGGACCAGCGCCTTCCAAGCTTCCTTCTGCTCCGGGTGACCAGAGCACCCCCTGGGTCCCTGCCCCAGAACAGTGATGGACAGCAGCAATGCTACCAGCGACGAGCTGCTTGCAGTAAGGCCTGCAAAATCTGCAGGGAAAAATGCAAGGCTTGGGTGGAAATGCTGGACTGATGGGCACGGAGGTTGGAGAGGAAATGGCTGGTCAGAAGTTGAGGGAGCTTTCTCCAGGATCCACTGTGGGGCCAGGTAAGCACAAATCCGAATGAACATGGAATCGTCAGTCAGGGCTGCAGTGGGACCAGCTGGCCAGAAGCCTGGGCCCAGGCAACTTCATTATCTGGGAGAGGTTCCTACAGGAGCAAGGAGGAAGAAAGAAGTGGAAAGGGCTCACCAATTAATAAGTGAGCTAGGCCAGTGACTCCATCTCTGAGAGTCTTTTGCCTAAGTCAATGGTGCTGCATGGTAGAAAGTTATCTGAGCTTGAAAGAACCGCAGCAAAGTTTCAGGGCTCTTAAGAGTTCATGGTTCAAAGTCCAGCTCCACCACCACACTGGCTATGTGCCCTCTGCCCATCCTCCTCTCTCCTGCCTTGTGCCAGGTGCCTGACCTCTTTGGACTGCAACACCTGGGTTTCCCTGGCCTCTGGCTTCTGGATGGGTTTGGCCTTGGTAGGGGTGGGAGGGATGGGAGAAATCTTGGTGTATTTCTTTCTTGTTCCCTCCTTGCTTTGGAGCCTGGTACTGGTGGTAGCTGTGTCCTTCCCTCTGAGACTCCAGGTTAGCCCCAGGGTTCCAGTTCTTACCCCCCATCTCCATTCATACTCTTTTCACTGCATGACCCAGGAGGCTTGTGGGTGGGAAGGGTCGGTCCTTCATCAGCTTTGTTTGTTCCCTTAACCCTGCCCTCGCCTAAGCAAAAATCTCCTCCTCATTTGAACCATAGTCAATGGATTCTACTCCTGACCAGGCCCTGCCTGATTTAGCCACTGGTGAGCTGTGGAATCCCCTGGCTCCACGTTTTCATTTTGGTGAGAAGCTAGGAGTTGTGAGGACTACATAAAACAAAGCACATGTCTGCTATCCCAGGTTACACCCCAACAGGGGTCCCTCAGGACGGTGACACCTGGGTTCTGTAGGTCTCCTAATCTCTCCCCACTCCTCCCTGAGCCTTTCTTCCCCTTAGGTAAACCCTGCTGGCTCAGTGAGAGGGAGGGAGAGCGAGGACATCCCTCCTGCTCCTCATGGCGCAGGCCCGGGAGGGAGGAGGGCATCCTGCCAGCCCAGCGCATCAACTTTCCTCTGACAAAGGTCAGCCTGCCCGGAATAAGGAAATACCCGCAGCCGGGTAAGGTAAATCCAAACCTGAAAATACAGACACTGAGCATTTCAGTCAACACGGCCTGCAGTGTCCTTGCAGAGCACTGTTTATGAGGCAATAAACCATAATGACTCTATGTTGGAACCCACAAGATCTCCTTGAAGGTTTAGGACAGATACTGCTAGTTCAGGCTCCAGGAGGCCTGGAAGGTGAGGCTGGGGCGGCTCCTTGGCCTTTGCCTCAAAGTTGCCGGTTTCCCCTAAATGGGGCGCACCAGCCCCTGGAGGGGCTGCCTTGAGGTGAGCGCCCTGGGGAGACCCCACAGTTCGGGAAGGACAGCCTGCATCACAAGTACTAAACGCTAATTTTGTGTCTTCTACAAAGTTGTAAAAAATGGATCGATTATTTCTTGGTTTGGTGGGGTAGGGATTGAGAGGAAAGGCTACAGCATGGTGATCAAAAACATGTTGTATACAATGCGTAGGGATAGCCCAAAAGAAAAGAAAAAAAAAAAAACATGTTGTGGATGAGGCGGGAGCGGCGGTGTGCACCTGTGGTCCCAGCTACTGCTAAGGCAGGAGGGTCACTTGAGCCCAGGAGTTTGAGACTATAGTGAGCTGTGATTGATGACACCATTACACTCCAGCCTGGACACAGAACAAGACCTTATCTCTTAAAAAAAAAAAAAAAAAAAAAAGCAGGGGAGTGTTATGGTGTGCTGTTTGAACCTGTGTTTGCTGTCTGACCGTGGCAGATGTACTTACCCTCTCTGTGACTCAGTTTTGTCACCTGTAATATGGAGGTAATAATAATGTGCCCATCAAATTGAGCTTTCTGAGGATTAAATGAAATCACATATATGTAATGGATTTAGTATGAGGCCCAGGACATGGTAGATACTCAAAAAACTAGCCATTGTCAAGCATGTGAAGCATCACTTCACCCATCTCTTCCCATCTGGCCATGCTTCTCCCAGCTCCAGAGCAAGCAAGGGTCCCTGGGAGACTGAGAGATAATAACTCGACACCTACTTCTGGGAGGGTGATCAACTCAGTAACACCAATGCCAGAGCCGGGTCCGCTGCTGCAGCCCGGCAGAGTTCAGAGGCTGCCGGAGGCAAAGGACAGAGGGTGGGGACAGCCAGGTGGCTGGTGCCAGGTGAACTGCTTGCACACGGTACACAGGGCAGTGCCAGTGGTCTCTTCAGGCAGCACTCTAGGTACTCTTTGACACAGGCCTGGCAAAGCTGTCATGACCAAACATCCCTTTGTAGAAGGCAAAATAGTCGGGGGATCAGACAACTGACTTGTTTGGAAATAAAAAAAAAAAAAATAGTCGGAGGAGAGTCTCTGGAAAACCCACCACCACTCACAGGAAATACAATCTGCTGCTGATGTTAGAAAGCAGATGTGCAGCAAGAGAGAGGGTGATGCCAAGGGAAGAGGCCAGCTGGTCCCCAAGAGGGCTCCCAAGGTCGTAGCATGCCTCAGTGCATTCTCTCAGGTCTGGGACTACTCCTTACGAGGCTCTGAACATGATGCGGTCAACAGGCTGAGGGGGGATTTGTCTGCTAGGAATAGGCTAACATCAACCGAGATCATAGAACACTCATGTACAGACCAAAATGCTAATTCTCTCTCTCTCTCTCTCTCTCTCTCTCTCTCTCTCTTTTTCTTATATTTGCTGAATACCTCCATGTGCCAGGAAGCTATAAATAAGTCCTTTCCCTCACAGAGCATACATTCTAGCTGGGGAGATTAAAACAAAGCCATCTATGCAGCAGAGAATGAGAGGCCCGGGAAGGACACGCAGCAGGGTTAGGTGTGGCATGTCTGAGGAAGGAAGGGGCCACTCAGCGCAGGTAAGGCCTCTCTGGGGAGGTGGCCCTCCAAGCCAAGATCTGGGTAAAGGCATTCCTGGCAAAGAGTCCTGAGTGGCGACTGCCCGGCAGGCTGGGAGCCCTGGTTCTGGGGGTCTGCACCCCTTTTCCCTGCAGGCACCCAGCGTGGGGAAAGGAGCTATGGTCAGAAGGCTGCGTGGTGAGCAATGAGCTGAGCAAGTGAGGAACTGATCCGGGGGGTGACTGCAACTGTGGGAGGCTGCACCGGCCTCTCACTAGCCCGCGCCCCGCCCCCACAGGGCCAGGGTGCCTGTGGATGGAGGCTGCTCCCCACAGCAGTGCTGAAGAAGGTGTCCTATTGTCCCTACGTCCACACATCCTTTTCCCCAGACTGGTTAGGGCAACTTAGTTGGCTGCCATTACATTTTGCTTGGGCAAATTATTCAAATTATTAACCTCTATGAGCCTGTTTCCTCGTGTACAAAATAAAGATAACGAGAGCTGGCTTGCAGGGCTCTGGGTGGAGAGGAGGACACAGCAAGTAAATGAAGTTATGCAAAGCCCTCAACGCTTGATAGTGGGCATCCAATAGAGGGTTAGTTTTAATTGCTGTTATTCGTATTATTTGATTATTTTGCCCCAGCCTGTGAGCCCTGTCAACTCTTCAAGGAACAGCTGTAGAGCCCAGAACATGGGCTCTGGGCACACAGATGGGCTGCATAACTCCAGGCAAGTTATCTAAACTCTCTGCATCTCAGTTTCCTCATTTGCATCGAGGAGCACTCACAGACCCTACCTTATGGCATTGTTGTGAGGGTTAAATGAGTTAATCCATACAAAGCTGTTAGGACAATGCCTGTTACATGGCCCAGATGTCTACTGCTGTCATCTGTTGTGGTAGGTCATTTCCCTCCCATCCCCATGCCCTTTTCCGGAGTCCCTCCCCATATGAAGAGATCGAGTCTGTTTGCCTTCCCTTAAATCTTGGCTAATCTACAACTTGTGGTAGAAATGACATTCTGGGACTTCTGGGCCATAAGAGTCCTTGCAGCTTCCATTTTTGGCCCTGTAAAGCCTGTATCCATGTAAAGAAACCTGGGCCAACTTGCTGGAGAGGCCACATGGGGAGAGCAATAGAGAATAAGAAAATATTTAGAAAAGAACCAAGGCACGCAGTGGACAGCTAGCACCTACCACTAGATACGTGAGTGAGGCTGTCTTGCGTTCCTAAGATACTGCAGCTGGTGGTAGGTGAAGCAAAGATGAGTGTCCCAGCTGAGCCCTGCCCAAATTCCTGTCTCTCAGAATCCCAAACAATAAATGGCTGTTAGTTTAGGTCATTAGGTTTGGGGGCAGTTTGGTAGACAGCAATAGGTCACCAAAATATGTATCTACATACACATATATATGTAATACATAAAATACATAACACCCCCCCCACATACACACACATAATTTCATCCATTAGTGTTGCTTTTCTAGTTTCATTCTCACCAGCTGACCTTATTCTTCAGTTCTTGGCATCTCTTTCATATCCTACCTACATAATCAACCAGAGGAAGCTAATATTTTCTGGTAATGAATCAAAGAGTAAAATAAAGCGAGAAGTTATAGTTTTTACTCTTGGGAAGCTTACAGTTAAAATGACTAAAAACATGTTTTGTAAAGGAAGGATAGAAGGAACAAAAAAAAAGAAAAAGAAAAAAAAATGACTAAAAACATACCATGAAACATACAACCCAATCCCCTTTCATTTGCATAAAGTTTTGGTCTTTCAAGGAACTATCAGAAACTGTATGATTTTCCGTTACAGCATCTAAGAGCAAATATTTAATGTTTGCTGAATATTTTCTATGTGCCAGGCACTAATCTAAGTACTTTATGTGTGATTGCATAGCGTGGCAAGTTGTATTTTCCCAAGATGGCTGCCACGATATAGCCCATCCTCCATGCTCTTCTTATAACATGATGTTGACACTCCACCCATCAAATAGTGGGGTCCATGTCCCCTCCTCTTGAGCCTAGGAAGGGCTTTGTGACTGCATTGATCAAAAGAGTATGTCAAAAGTAAAGCTATGTGGCTTAAGGGCTAGATCATAACAATGCCATGCACTTTTGCCTTGGTTGCATTTGAAAACAAGCCTCCATACTGTGAGGAAGCACAAGTCACTAGAAAGAGCACATTGTCGGTGTTTTGGCTGACAGCCAGGATCAACCACCACACATGGGTGTGAGGAAGCCTTTGGGATGACTCTAGCTCTAGTCCCAACCATTGTCTGTCTGACATTGATTGCACGAAACCTGAATAAGGACCACCTTGCTGGGTCTAGCCAACACCCATTGCTGTGAGAGATAACAAAATGATTATTGTTTTAAGCCACCATTTTGAAATTGTTTGTTACACAGCAATAAACAACCAGGACACATGAGTATTTCAATGATTATTTGATTGCCTATGCCCCCTACCAAAGTGTAAGCTAAAAGAAAGTGGAGACTCAGTTTCTTATTCACAGATGCCTGTATTCCTAGAATCTAGCAAAGAGCAGGTTTCCACTAAGAATTTGTTAAGTGAATGAACATATCATTGATCTTAATTCTTATGAACCACTGAATGAGGTCAGTAAGGCAGGCATTCTTATCATTTTGTAGATAAGAAAAACTGAGCCCAGAGAGGTTATGTGACATGTCTAAAGTCACACATCCAGTAGCTGTTAGGGTGAGAACTGGTGTTTCCTGACTCCTCCAGTGGGTGCTCTTTCTCCTGTGCCATGCTGCTGTCAGGGAGATACCACATACGTAGCTCTGCATGACTGTCCTAAACCGTCACGACTCTGGAAGGATGGCATCCAGATGAATCCAAGCCTGCAATCCTTCCTGAAACAGGTTGTCTTTACGTGAGAAGCTGAGGCAAGTAAGGAATATGGCATGACTGTGAGAACTGTAGAGGGAATTCTAGGAGGAGAAAAAGCTTTTGGAGTAGCTTACCATCTAAACTCAACTGGGTACATGTGGCAGTAGTTCTGCCAGCTAAGAGAATGGAACAGAGACATCTGGGACACAGACATGAGTCGGGGTAAGGAATCTGGAGGCTTTAGATATGGGGCAGATGTTGAGCTTGACATCTGCTGAGCCCTGAGAGGTTATCCAACTTCTTCTCTGTCTTAGTCCATTTGTGCTGCTATAACAAAATACCAGAGACTGGATCATTTATAAACAATAGAAATGTATTTCTCACAATTCTGGGGTTTGAGAAGTCCAAGATCAAGGATCTGGCAGTTTCTATGTCTTGTTAGGGCTTGGTCTCTCTGCTTCCAAGGTCGTGCCTTGTTACTGCATCCTCCAGAGGGGACAAACACTATGTCCTCACATGGTGAAAGGGACAGAAGGGGTTAACTTGCCCCCTAAAGCCCTTTTATGAGGCACTAATACATTTATATGGGTGTAGCCCTCATGGCCTAGGCACTTTCTAAAGCCCCCACATCTTTCCCCCCCAACTGGCAAGTATGTAGAGTAATCTTTTAAAATTATTATTATTATTAGCTACAGGGTCTTGCTGCATTGCTCAGGCTGGTCTTGAACTCTTGACCTCAAGAGATCCTCCCACCTCAGCCTCCCGAGTAACTGAGATTACAGGCATGTGCCACCACCACACCTGGCCCTACTTCTTAGTACTACCACAATGAGGATTAAGTGTCAACATGAAATTTGGAGGGGATACATTCAAACCATAACCATAATATGAGCCAAAGCAACAGGCTAGTCAAGAGGGGTAGGTGGCCCCAGGAAGAGATCTCTGTTCCCACAGCAAACCATCTTAAGGGAAAGGCAGCCAGGACACTGATGGGGAAGATGACATGACCCCTCTGTCTTGGAAACAAAGAGTGCAGAGCAGGGGAGAGGAGAGATGTGCTCCATGTTTTCCTTTATCCCCTTTCTTCCAGCCTCCTTGGCAGTGCTCATTTTTTTACAAATGGAGGGGAAAATGACAACTAGGATTTTTCTTGAGCCTTGGCAACAGAGCTAGGGTTTTTATTAGCATGCAGTGAAAATGGCATTGACCTCAGTAACAAATAAATTAAATCCTGGTTGGCTTCAGCTTAACATCTTGGCCTTTCTAAGTTAACTTACCAAGTGATTTACTTCTTTAGCGCCTTTAACCCAATACCCCAAGTGGCTAACCTTCTAGTGGATGCCACTTATCTCACCTTGGGGATACAGATCCCAGACAAACCTGAAAACGAGTCTTAGAAACGATCCATAAAGAGGAAATGTGTTTTAGACCCGCACGCCATGGAGGGGCAAGAGGCAGCTTGGGCGATAAGAGCCCTGGGTGCTCGCAGGACTGGCATCCTCCCTCTATTTCTGAAGCTTTACTTGCCTTGGTGGAGTTAAATCGCTTCCCTGCAGTGTGCTCTTGCCGAGGCCCTCCTCGACTGTCCCATTCCCTTTAGTCTGATTTTATTCTCTACAGTAAACTTTGTGGGTAGGATGTGAGTGAGGGACTCAAAAACATTAGGGGAAAGGGAAAAATGAAGGAAAGGAGGGGACAAAGAATAAAGAAAAAAATGAAACTAGTTCCGTATGTATAGTCCAGGACTTTCCTAGTATTCGTAAGAAATGGAGGTCCTCCTCCCACCGGCACACGCCTTGGCCCTCCTGGGGGTCTCCACTCAGAGCAGGGCTCCCCTCCACCAAACCCAGAGTGGAAGCTGCACAACTGAACCTGATCAGTCAGTGCAGCGCAGCCCGAGGAGGGCAGCTGATACGAATTCACAAAGGGAACCTGCCAGCTGCTCTACCCTTGCCCTGTGGCATCCCAGCCTCAAAGCTGCACTGTACACCACGGTTTGGCCAGGGCAGGCGACCTGGGGGCCACTAGGGCCTTGCTGCTCCTCTCCTCACTTCCAGAACCAAGAACCATCAACCGATGGATGACAATGCTAGACTAGAGGGCCTCCCACAGGGAACACCCAGCTCTAAGGTGACTCTCCTTGGATTCCAGCCTCCTTTGGGCACAACCT